TTTTTTAATTATTTAAAGTGATCACTATAGTCTAATGTTTAGAATGTCAAAATATGTTCTCTTTTATTTTAATTTTAAAAGTTTTACTCAGACGATCGATGAAATAAAACAGTTTAGTGACGTGCCCAGTAACCTGCTAAATAACGAGATAATTCCGACGTCAAATTCTGTTTTGTCCAGCGACTGTGTACAAACGTGCGCCGCTGATGATCACGGTGACCAGCTACACCAGAACGGACATATTTCGCATCTAACTCAACCCCATGCAACAAAAATTGATACTATGTGTTCATTATGGTCCATTATTTCTCGAGGAAAAAGTACATAAGTGAAAATTTAGTCAAAGACGAGAAAACTGCAGAAGAAATTTGCCTTATTTACACGTATCGGCAATGCAAGCTGCCATGCGACTTCCCCTTCTGACGTCACAAGGGGAATTTCTGTATGCAAATAAGAAGCTAATGAGTAGCCTCGTTTTAAAATACACAAAAATAAAGTTGCCGTAGATTGAGTTTAAAACACATTTTTTCACTTCAAAAAATAATTCATGCTAAGAAACATACAAATTAATAATATTTATGTATCAATGGATAATTTTAGGCGTGAAAATAGCAGCCATTTCACAGGCACTTTAATGTACTGTACTGTGTGTAAGATCTAGGTTACAATTCCGCGCACAGTAACGTCCATTGAACGTATTACATATAGGGCATCAAAGGACAGCCGTACAATGGCACACAGTACCGGTATTGTCCGTACAGAGGTCAACACAGTTCACAAGTTCAAAATCCGAGAGTTGTAAAACAAAAACTTGCCCCGGACAGCCATTTCCCACTACACGTACACATTATTGGGCGATGAAGTGAGTTTAGGCCGTTGCAAGCACTGTCGGTGTCCATTGAACTATTCCATTCCTCATGCAACCAGGAGTACCACTTTAAGTGCAGCACTCGGCTCAACTACATTCATCGTAACTCCCGGTATTCAAATGTATATAGAATAAATTTACATCAATTATGATATACAGCAAGTATTTTGAAGCTAAACGTTTATATTGGCTTGTGGAGTATCGCTCGGCGACGGTCTTTGATATTCTCTTTCTGTAGAGAAGGGTCCTATTAACTTCTCGACTCTATATCAGACATCTCCTGTTTTCAGTTTATTGACACCAAATACTTCAAGTGTTCATCCGCCCGAGTCTTCTTCGTATACCGTCAGTGTTACCCGCATAAAATCGTTAAGTTCTACGTTCCAGATCACAGCAAGTAGTCAATCAAACTAGGTAAGTTCTACAAAAATCCACCCATGATCGGTTCGACATATATATATATACGTTACGCTACCGTTATTTTCTGTAAGCGATTACAGAAAACATTTCGAAAATAGATATTTTTTTTCTCTGTGTTTATAACAGAAGAAAATTGTTGGTGAGTGAGTGTGGTAATATTCGGTCTATTTTGTAGTCGTGATGACAATACTTTTTATGTTAGATCAGTTTGGGGATTTGAACTATATAAGTTGAAGAAACAAACTTGACTTCGGTCAATCACTTTAAAAAGTCCCAGTCTCAAAATTTAGAAACCTATTCTGTGTACACTCACGCAGAGTTGACTGTGTCGGTTGACCTAAATTGGAAGTTTTATGTTAAACCTTTGATCGACTCGGTACAGTTCAGTTGGTTGGTTCCATTGTCGGTGATATAGTGAAGAGAATGAAAAATGGTATTTTTGCTGAGATATCATCGGTTGATTTAGTCGGTAATGGGCACTTTGGGTCAAAGGTGAAAACCATATATTGTCGTTATTTGGTAGTGCTTCTTGTCACCTAGCAGAATTGTGATCTTCCAGCTAGTTATGTAGTCCACCTAACAATTTGACCTCCATGGGTGAATAGAATTGTGATTGGCCATTGAAAGTACTCACAACTCGCAATAACTTGAAGGGTTTTGTCTGACAACAGAAATTTTTTGCGGCGCGCCCGTAATTTGATTTTTCACTAATTTTGTCGTATTTACTCTGTTGCACTGGTATAGGTGTTGCGTCGCTGTGCATTCTACCACCGTACATGGATGTGTGACATCATATTTTAAGAACACGGAGAATAAGTTAATACCCGATTTTAACTTTATAAAAGTAAATGCCACGCGACAAAATGTGATATACGTAAAATTTACAGAAAGCTCCATGAGCTGGTGACAAAACGTAGGAACGCAGTAAAGCATTTATTATAGTGTAGGTCGGTTTAGGGCTGAATGAATACAGACACTATGTCATAATTTAAATATTTGTCAAGCACGGGGTCAACTAAATGTATTTATTTATTTATTAACACACAACATCCCCCGGAGGGGATGACACGGGTTACAAATCAGATATTAGTAAAGGAAAAATAACTACATAAAAGTAAGGGAACAAAAAAGCATTCGTAATCATTATAGTTGACTGTCACCGCCCATTTAGGTAAATAGCATGTTCCGCTTAACAATAACCTTTACTAATTATACAAATCAATAGAGCCAAGGGTGGAAGCTTCGACCAGTTTTAATAAAGCTTTTGATTCGCAATCAGCCAAACATGAATACGTCACAATGGTGTCATATCACTTGTACGAGCACCCATCATGGGCCATGTGAGAATTATCACGAGTGACGCTTGTATCGAAACAATGTCAAGTGTTTCTTTACGTTGCTATAAACAACCGTGGTTTCTAAAACAATATCATTGTCGCTTTCAGCATGTATTTGGTATATGGGCAGTGCTTTATTATTATAATTCGTAAAACATTATAACATGTGACAAATCAGCCTGTAGAGTGTTCAAATCACTATTGTACTATTATCCAATGTATTGTCGTGAATCCAATACAGGTGTATTGAATCACTGTCCTATCATAGGATACGTTTTGAATCACGTGACGTGTCAAGTTGGATCACGTGATTTACCTTATATGACCTTACTTATTAAATATACCTTCTTACTTAGACTTTTTATCGGGAAGTACTGTAAAACTTGTTTGCTCTCTGGGCTTAGCCGCTTGGCTAATGCCCTGGGACAATCATTGTACTCTGTCTACTAGTTCACGACCTTGTAAAGTGTGTCATGTCACAGTGACCAAAATAAAAAAAATCAATAAATGTTATAATATGAATAAAATAATCATTCCCTTCAATTGATGAATAGTGGTAATTATTGAGCCGGTTGTCAACAACAACATAAATAAAACTATATACTCTTAAACTAAAGTAATCTGAAGATCAGTTTTAATGGTAGCAAACTGCATATAAATTTAGATTAATAACGTGGTATATATTGCATTCATGCATTCTCATCAATGTATTGATCTTTAGTTTTCTATTTCACAGAGGATGTTTACCAAAGAAGAAGCCACTGAATTCATCACGGATAAGCTGAAGATAAAAGAACCTCTAAGACAGTTTGACAAAAACAGACTAGTATTATTGAACAACATAATACGAGCTGTGATGTATCAAGTTCCGTTTCAAAATATCACATTATTGTGTTTGCCTGAAAAAGATAGAAAAGCCCCAACAATGGATGAGATAAAACGGGATGGTATTTCACTTGTTGGCGGTTTGTGTATAGTTAATAATGCGATTTTAAAGAATGTGTTAGAAGCTATAGGCTTCGATATCGAATATGTGTCAGCAACAATAATCGATCCTGACAGCCATGTGTTGTGCATTGCGAGCAATGTATTGCACGAAGGTGATAAATATTTAGTGGACGTGGGATGTGGTTATCCAACATTTGAAGCCATTCCGTTGGATTTCAACGACGAATCCCCAATATATGAATTCTCATTTATGAAATTTAAGCTGGTTAGAAATCAAGGAGTTATAGAAAGGCAACATCTTCGCCAGTCAAAAAACCTGTTGAGGTTAGACAGTTACTCTGTCTACGATCAATTTGAGACGCGATGGGTGAAGTTTTACGAATTCAGCGTCACTCCTGTTGAGTATTGCCAGTTTGATTCTACTATGAATCTGATTTACACGGTTCCTGACGCAAGCCCCTTTCTGATTAGCATTGTATTAGTTTCATTTAAGAATGGTAAATGCACGGTGGTAAGGGACAACTTACACTTAGAAGAAGGCGATGACAACAAACTACACGAAGTGGAACGACTGGAATCAAATGAAAGTATCATAAGCTGCATCTCCAAGATATGTCCTCAGCTTTCGGAGCTGGATATAAAGAATGCGGTTGAAATTTGGGCATCTGAATATAAACACTCAACAAACAAGTAACTTATCAAATCTAGGGAGTATTACTTCTAAATGTTGTTATTAAAACAACTGTTTACAACTGTTTTGTGACATAAAGCTAATATCATTCCAATATACGGGAATGGTTGGCGTAAATCAAGTATTCATTTTATTATAGAGGTTGTGAACTTAAGTTGCTCTACTAGTATTGTATTTATCATAATAAAATTTCTCCTAATATTCAAATCTAATAATGCGATATTCCCTTCAAAATACATAACGTTTTTATTTAGTTGGACTCGGGTTTAATTTAACACTATGCAGGATTGAATCCAACTTGGTACACATTGTTAGGGACCAGGGTTGAGAAACAACAGAATGATGTACCAGCCTTGAAAAGCTGCAATTGACTAGACTAACTTCAAATATTTATTGAGCTCTTACCATCCGTTTCTCTGTTGAAGACATAAATGTTAGTTCAATAAAGTGTTGAACATATTGCAATATCGCGATCGTGTATTATTAGTATTCTTACTGCTGAAATATCAGTTGCCAAAAATATAGCCCATACATAACCAATTACTAAGGATGTGATGGACTGATACAATGAATACAGAGAAGCGGTGAAATTCATAATTTAGTGAAACGTTTTCCAGCACCTTCTAAAACAGGCACGTTTATCATTAACTTTGGTTTGAAACCGCTTAATTAACCAACATTAAATTCCAACAAAGAAACTTAACGATTCAGGAGAAAAATGTTGGTAACTGGATAACGAACACATAGTATGAACAAAAGCGACAATTAACGAACTACTACAACGAGTGCACGAGTGGCCAACATGATATATAGGAGTTATTATTACGAATATGGCACATTTATTCGTATGATGCCCTCTATATTTTATTAGCGTCCATGATGTGTCCTTTCGTTTTCGTCCTGCAACTCACCCATTAAGAATTATAGGAAATACGTGGGTCGTAATGAATAAGTCCGACTATTTAAATAGTTTCAGTATGGTTTGAAACCACTTAATTAACCAGAAAACATGAACAGATTCCAAAAAGAAACTTAACGTTTCTGGAGAAACGTGTGGATAACAAACGCATAGTGCCAAAAGCGACAATTAAGGAACTAGTACAACGAATGGCCTACATGATATATAGGAGTTATTATTACGAATATGCCCTCTATATTTTATAAGTGTCCATGATGAGTCCTTTTGTTTTCATCCTGTGAGTCACCCCTTATAAATTATAGGAAATACGTGGGCCGTAATGTATGAGTGCGACTATTCAAATAGTTTACCTTCTGACAATCTATAAGTGTAACAGAGGTCATTGGTTTTCTGTGTAATGAATGGATATAATGTGAGGGTTGACTGCATTGTAATATCATGAGCTGTTTTTATTTATGTTCCCTTTGTCATGGGTATGAGCGGATTGGCACATTTTGACAGATATCAATGTGTATAAAAACATGGTGGCCTGTGTATAGACGTATTATTGTCTGTTGCACTGATATCTCAAAAAACACCTTGCATATTAATTAGCCAATTTTAGGCATGAAACTTGTTACTTAGATGCTCTGTGATAATGCGCAGATTTTATTTTTTTTGGTTGAAATCCATGCATATTAGTGATCTAATTTGCATGTTATTAACTAAGTTTGAGTCTTCTCACATTCTCTCCTGTACTATTAAACATATATCAATGAATCAAGGATGTTCTGGGATTATGCGCACCTAATTTGCATAATAATTAGCTAATTTTAAGCAGTTTCCCTTTTTTCTCATGTACTATTCAGCAGATTCCAATAAAACTTGGCACATAGATCCCATTAGATAATGCATGGTATGATTAGATGTTCATTGAAATCTGTGCATATAATGATTTCCTTTAAATTTGCATATTAATTAGCCAATTTTGAGCATTTTCATTTGTTACTTGTTAACTAATAAACACAATTTAATGAAACTTGGTACATAGATGCTCTACGATAATGCCCAGACTCCATTAGCTTCTGTTTGAAACCCCTTGCAAATTAATTACGTAATTTGCATACTAAATCGGCAGTTCTGTATTTATTGGTTCAGTTTAATGAGATGAATGTGTTTTTATTCATGATTGTATACAGTGACTGCTTATTTTTGCTTACTATTCCTAATTTCAATTCTGAGATAATTGTGGTGTATTGTGTCTTAATGGGAACATGTTAATTTGGTGATTTCATTTAGCTGTTGTATATCACCCATATTACCAATGTAACACTATGTGTTTACGTGAGTCAACTATCAATGTGGAGACGTTGACATACATATGTGATACACGGTACAGGTTATAATTGACATTCATCATTATATCTGGTAGCGTGTTAAGATTTCACAGTCCAAATTTTTGATTTCTTATGAATGCAAACAAGGTCTTGACAACATGATTTCGATTTGATCGTCCAATTGGCGTCACCGATTTATTTCAAAGATATCACACCATTCATTGTTTGAATTGTTTGTCTCTTGCATACCGTCAAATTCTATATTTTCGCAATGTCTCAGACCCTGGTCAGAATATTCTAAAACCCTCAGGTTTTAGCCTTGTCTTGTAGCCTTATCTGATGGATAATTATTTCATTTTAACTTCTAAGATCTTGTACCAAAATATGTGCCAGATTGACGAACTGTGTGATTGCATGGTTACTTCAATAAATGCGTTATGCAGGAAATGTGTGATCAATTGCAGCATGTAATTCCCTTCACTGTACTTCTATGCAAAAAAAGATACTTAACACAAGTACGATGTAGCAGCATGATCACCACAAGTTTTTAAATTTGCAATATAACGTCGTTATTATTTACTTGTTATTACGTGGGACACTACAGAATACTGAGACATAAAAACAACTCTCAGATTTGTTCATTTGATGATGATATCTTCAATTGTCTAATTTTAATGAATATTTTTTGTAATTTTTTGTAAAAAGTTGTATTTTTGAATTCTTGTTGAAAACAACAAGTCCGATTGCTTTGATACTATAATGATATTTTCAGTTCTTTAATTGAAATGTGCTTTGCTAACGGAGCTATCTCAGCCGACAGGCTGCTTGTTTATAATTATTAATGACTTCATTGTTCTTGTCTATGTGTGATCAGAATTGATTCCATCTATTTTTAGTCAGTGTTTTTGATGCAAAATGTCTTAGTTTACATATTTGGTCACACAAAGAAAAGACCCACCAGGTATCTTTAGTATCCATCAATTTGTTATTTAACTAAGATTCTCAACATGCATTTTGGAATAGTTGTGCTCTTTTGATAAACAGTATCATCACAATTAACTTATTAAAATTCTAAAACTGTAATGAATAGCTGACAAATAGTATTTCAGCATCGTCCGCCTGCACGGTGTTGCTCCGTTCGGACATTCTTCCCTCTACAACACCGTGCGGTAATACCATTCATAACCGTGTATGTCACGTGGTTGCGCGATAGAAAGTTTACCGACCAATAGAAAGCTTTGTTACAAAGACTGCCAGAAAGCGCTCGGAGCTCTGCATTTCTGATGTTTTCGGCTTCATTACTGCCGATATGTGTTGCAGTGATATCACGAGCTTTGGGGTGTAACACCTACTCTTCTATAGTAGTCAACAGTGGTGACAACACTATTACCACTATTATTAAGTAAAAGCTTGAATAGCTTTGGTCTGAATATAAGTGAGTTGCATGATGTATGGATATTGTCGCTGTATCGCCTCGACATCCAAGCCAACACAGCTTTAGCTGTGCTCAGCGACATTTATTCTTGGGTCAGGCATTTTCACCGCCTGGCAACCATCATGGTGAAACAAAGGCCAATAAATTCTCAGAAAACGGTATTTTGGGATGGTTGTTGTCACCCCCTACATATGCAACATTAACATTTAAATTTGGTTGGATTTCTTCAAAGTTAAGTTTGTGCTGTTTTCTCGATTTTCGCTTTTTGATCAGTGCACAGCAGCTCGCGCAGAGTCTATATAAATACATGGTAGAGTGGTGCGCGTCTTAAATAGCAACGTGGAGCGTTTAGTGACTTAACTCCGCCTCGAAGATTTTGATAGCTTTGCCAAGCGCGTTGAAGAACGAAGTTATATGATTGGCTGTTAAACTGATTCTAAACTGTGAGGGCATTGTCACATACGCATAGTCCTAGTGAAATACTTCAAGGTTATAGTGGAGTGCTTCGCCGGAATATTCACCTTGAAAATTCAAGATGGTATTTCAGTAAATTAGTGATTTTTGAAGATGAGTGATTTTCTTTGAGAAATAACTATTATTTGATACTTAAAAAAAACAATTGAGAGAACAAGGTTTATTTAAGCAGATCAACATGCTATGCTCATAAAAACTGCTGGAAAATAAATTAATGGCTTAATATATCTGTAAATATATGTTATGTTTTAAGACATTAACCAAGATGTCACTTATTTAGGTGATGTAGTTTATTGCTCCTCATGTTACTGATGTCTTTATTTGATGCGAACTCTTCAAATAAGTTAACCCTCCTACATATTGTTACATTTATTATTATTTTTTTTTTATTTTTTTAATTTACATGATAAAACTGCTGAGTTGGTTCATCATCTCTAACAACTCAACTCAACTCTACCCGACCCGACCCCTGTACTAAAACTTTCAATATCGAAAAGGGGATCTAAATGGAGTACACGAGTTGTTTTGATAAAAATGCCTATGCCAAAAGCTGTGTGACAGAATATTAATCTCAAACTTTAGTTGGACAGTTATTTCTTTTACAGTGTTGTCAGTTTCCCTATAGTACATTCGCATATAAAAAATGACCGGGAATACTCCTCTTTGAAATAATGATAAAGAGCTAATGAACAATACATAATTGTCTGTGGAAAAGTATATTTCTCTTCTCTTAGTTTGTCAACGATCCAATAAAATATGGATACACTGTCCCTGGGAGTTTTTACGACTGACAATTCAATGTTCCCTATTTGGGCAAATGCTTATAGTCTTGCAATCTGGAATAATGTAATGAGGCTGT